AACCGAACGTCCACCCAGGTCGACCATCAAGACCGAGCATCCAAGCTAACGCTGTCCGACCACACATGGACCGAGCGGTCCTCCAAGGTCGACCATTCATAAACCGAATGTCCACCCAGGTCGGCCACCAAGATCGAGCGTCCAGTGTGACCGATCAGCAGAACCGAGTGGCCGCCCACCAAGGTTGACATCCTTGGTCGACCACCCTTCTGACCGGCCGTCCCGACCGACCCTCACTCGGTCGACCACGCGGTTAAATGCTAATGACTCATTAAAGCCCTTAATGAAGATTAAGGTATGATTGGGCCATTATCAGGCCCACGAAAGGTAAAAGCCCATTACAATAAGTATAAATAAAGGTTCCAGGTATGATTTCTAGACAGATTGATTACGATGCAATATATACATGCATTACAGACCACTCGGTCATGTTACTGACTTAAGCATCGGAGTGCCTTTGACAGGTACCCGACCGCCCCGCTTGGAGAACGAGGAGAGAACGGATACTACAACCAGGACTTGAAGACGGAAGAGCCCCTTCGGCCCTTCCCAGCGCGTCCAGCCCTTAGAAGAGTTAACCGTCCGGTTTTCGCCAGCTTCTAGTGCCATCCTTCTAGCACCTGAACCGCTCGGTCTGTTTCGGCTCGTGGGATTTAGGAACGTCCGCCCGGTCTTCGGCAAACTCACGTGTTTTAGCAGGGTCATCTAGATCCGGCCGAAACAGAAACCAATACGCTTTCACTAATTTAAAAAATTCACTGAATTTTCAAAGTCTTTTTTTTAAATATGAAACATATTATACGAAGTTAAATATAATATTTCACTATTTTAAACCAATAATTAAACCGGGGAAGATGGAACTTGTGTTTTGAATAAACAAGTCCATAAGCGAGGGTGATATTTCCGAGTCAAATCTTTGGGTACGTAATAAGCATTACTTATTGCTGATAAAAAAAAAAGATGAATTTGTACTACACTTTTAGGTTTTAGGGAGAGTAAGTTTCGAGGTTTTATTTAATCTGTTTTTCTCTCTATTAAAATACTGTTGGATATTTACAAACATGTTTGATTTAAATTTTGTTTTTTCATATTGGTACAATAAAGGCTAAGTAATTTAACAAAATTACTAACATCAATAATTTTATGGCATGCTCTGTCAACATTTATAACTGTCATGCAATCTAACGAGTCAACAAATGTTTCTATAACCCAACAAATTCTATAACTTATTGAAGTTCATCAGCTGTTTTATGTATCCTAATTATAAGTTAAAAGTTGTATAAAATTAAGAGAGTTAAGTTATATACATATATATATATATATATATATATATATATATATATTAAAACTTTATATTAGTAGCGGTGTCAAATATATATACATAGACACTAAAAAACATATTTTTTATTAGTCATTGTGTTATATCAGTTTAATAAATTGCTAAAAAGAATTTTATTTTTGTTAATTTTTTTAACCGTCATAAATTTTTTATTATTTTAAATTTAACTAAATATTTATATTCAAGTTGTTTTCTCCTCATTTTTTTTATATCTTCTTCCCCTCACATTCTCATTCTCATCCTGAGATTTAATGCTCTGCCAAAATGTCTTCATGATTTCATCTGTGTGTTCTCTCGATACATCTCACTCCATCGTCTTCATTGATCCATTCTCTGGTTGTTCCCATTTCAAACTTCTTTATTATTCAATCCTCTTGTGAATTTTGTTTATTTCTCTTCATATGCAATTATATATAAAAAAAAAAACAAAAAATGACATGTACATGATTACTATCTTGGGGAACCAAATCATTTATTAAGGATTATATGACATGCTAAATCATTATTGACATTAATATTTTATTAACGAAAAAGAAAAAAATAATATTTGATAAAACTAAAAAACAAAACTTAATTACATTTCAGATGCTTGAAAACAAATTTAAACCTTCTCACTCACGTATAGTTAGTTTATAAAATTAAAAAAATTAAAAGTGAGTTATCTTGACACTATTTTAATGTATTACACGCCATTTAAAATATACATAATACATGTACAAAAGCTATCATTAGATTAAGTAAGTACAAATTTAAATAATGTAAAAAAAAGATTATCACAATAACATATCACTTGATTTAAAAGTTGAATAAAAAATAACATTTTTTACAATTTCTCTTTATCATGTTACTAAGTTTGACACTCACTATTATTTGATATATAATATGTCTCCATCTTCAGGAAACAAGTGTATTTTACCATATCCAGAAAAAAAAAATTAAGTGAAAATCCTAGACATCTTCGAATGTACATTAATTAGTTTCTTATAGTTAGATTACATCCTATAAAGCATAATACATTCACGAATGAAGAAGGATATGGCTGAAAAGTTCCATTTACAAAAGGAAAGAAACAAAAGGAAAGAAATAAAGAAAGAGAAATGAGAGAGAAGAGTTTGCTGAATCACTTTACCTAACAAGTATATATATCCTTCTATGAGAAGAGTTTGAATAAGAAAACAATTGTAGGAACATCGCTATGGTGACTTAGTGCATGTCAGTTTCTGTCGAACATATATCAAATCGTCAGCACCATTGTGAACATCGAATTTAACCAATGACAAAGACATGATATTGCTGTTTTCATGTAAGGTTACAGTGACCTCACAAGGGCATATTCTATATCATATCCGTATCTTGCATATTTGAATAAAAAATATGGTGCACACATGCAGATTAAATAAATAGATTACGTGAGTGTATATATATCATCAGTATGTAAAAAGTTGATGCAGTGATATTAGTGTTTCCATTGATGACTCCCAAGGTAGTACAAATGGTGGAAAGTGTTGGTGATGATGAGCATAAGAAGAAGAAGGAGGTTAAGAGTCTGGCATTCTTGAAACTGTTGAGCTATGCTGACATGGTGGATTGGATTCTGATGGGTTTGGGAAGTGTTGGTTCCATTGTGCATGGCATGGCACTTCCTGTGGGGTATCTGTTGTTGGGAAAAGCTCTTGATGCTTTCGGAAACAATATTGAAGACATAGATGCCATGGTTAAGGCTCTTAAAAAGGTTGCTGTTTTTCATATATATGAAGAAAAGAGAGTGTTGTTATTTGAGATGAATAAACTGATAGTGTGTTTCTTCTTGTTATGTTCAGATTGTTCCATTTGTCTGGTATATGGCCATAGCCACATTTCCTGCTGGGGTACTTGGTAAAGTTTATCTTTTCTTCCTTATCCCAGAATAACAATATACTTTCACAAACACAAATATTTTATATTTTTTTACATTATTTTTTATTATTTTTTTACAAATATAAAACTTATTTTTTTTATAATTATAATATTTTTAGAGTATGTGTCAAATAAATATTAATGTTATTTAGCCACTATTTAGGTTTCTTCTACGTAGACAATTATGTGATGTTTATTTTCTTTTATCCTTTAAATTTGCCAATTTTCCTTGTTTTAAAGAGTACATCATAATTCTTATTTTAATGAAAAAAAAAATTAAGGTAAGTTTAGGCTGTTTTTTTTTCTTTTAAATTTAGAAAGTCTTTCATGAAACACTTTTCAAAAAGGAAATTTGTATTTTCACACTCAACTTTTCTTATGTAATGATCTCACTATTCCTTTTATTAATAAAATATTTAATAAATAAGAATAAATATAAATGAAATTTTGAAATAAAGTACCGACGTTCTTTCAAAAATTCATTTTTTTAGACAGTGGGAAGTTTTGTGTTAATTGGTGGTAATGAAGATTGAGACACTAAAGCTGAAATTTAAACAATGAAAAGTTAAAGTAGTAAAATCAAAGGAACTTAAAATTCTGATTTTTCTTTTTGAAAAGTAAAAAGAGATATTACTTTTAAAAGTATAATTATTTTTTTAAAAAACACTACTATAAAATTAGTTTTCTTTTATTGTTTTTGGAAACATAAAAAATAGTTTATTTTTTATTTAACACCAGCCAATTAAAGGTTTACATTTTATTCTATAACATACATCTGAATTTATTGACCAGATATTAGGACATATCTTATCGGCTATAATTGGAACAAAGTATGCCATATACGATCTAAAACGTCAAAAACTATTTTTCAAGAAATTGTAAACTATATTTGCAAGAAATATATTTTTCACATGAAAACTATCAAACCAGTTGGTCTACCTAATAAATTTAGATTGATCCGATTTAGCTTATTTTTTAAATATGCAAATTTGATATGATCTAATCTTATATGTTAAAAAACAAGACATTTCGGCCTCTTTTAAGAAAATATATTTTTAAAATTTAGGCCATTTTGAAATTAATTTTAATTTTAGATACTATAATTTAATATACAAATTATAATATATGTATGTAATTATTTCAATAAAATACTTTTTTCAATATTTTTACTATAATAATTTTTATTTTCCTTTTAAATATAATTATTATTTTATGAAATAGGTTGTTTCTATTTAATCGGTGCTCTAAATAAGTCAGGGCAAAAATGATCATATTCTATTTTTATATATATTTACATATTATACTATTTTATTACTTATAAAACCAAAACAAAGCATGGTTGACCAGAAGGCATGACATGCATATACAGTGGTTTTATTTTTCATAAGCAAACATCATGAATCATAATCCTGAGACGTTGAAACATGCGCAGAAATTGGTTGTTGGATGTATGCAAGTGAAAGACAGTTATTGCGGCTAAGATTAGCATATCTGAGAGCAGTTCTTAACCAAGAGATAGGAGCTTTTGATACAGAGCTAACAAATGGGAAAGTCATCAGTGGAATAAGCAACCACATGAGTGTCATACAAGATGCCATTGGTGAGAAGGTCAGAAAACCAATACTGCTCACAGCTTTTCACCTTTCTCCTGAAAAACTTAAAGTAAACCTAATCATTATTTGTTTTTTATTATAATTTATTTTTTAAACCTTTTTGAGACATTGTTTTCTTGCCCGTTTAAAATAATTAATACTAAAAAAATTTCTTTTGAGTTTTTTTTTCTTGAAGCACCTGAAGATAATAACTGAATTTCTTTCTATCAGTTGGGTCACTTCACCTCTAGCTGTGCAACTTTCTTTGCTGGAATTGTGATTGCTGCAAATAGCTGTTGGGAAGTGGCGCTTTTATGTTTAGTGGTTGTCCCACTTATTCTTATAATTGGGGCAACTTACACCAAAAAATGAACAACATATCAACCACCAAAATGTTTTTTCCATTCTGAAGCTACATCTATGATAGAGCAGGTATATATGCACACACATAATTCACATTTACATAATTAATACAATTTGTTTGAACAAGTTCTGATGTGGATATTCAGACAATTCACAAATAAAAACAGTTTTATTGCTTTTGTTGGAGAGAGCTCCGAAATCAAATCCTTTACAGAGAACATGGATAAGCAATATATTATAACACAAGGGGAGGCACTTGTGAAAGGAGTTGGAACAGGGATGTTGCAACAGTGAGTTTCTGTTCTTGGGCTTTCATTGTATGGGTTGGAGCTGTGTGGTCAGAGCAGGAAGAGCAACAGGAGGAGACATAATAGCTGCAGTGATGAGTATTCTCTTTGGTGCCATGTAAAGGAAGAAAGAAAACTACCTTCAGGCTTGTTTAGAATGGAGAAATTATAAGTAGGTATGGATGAGTGCTAGAACTGAACACTCCTGTGTATTGCAGATCACTCACTTATCGCAGCACCAGACCATCAATTATTCAATCAGGCAAAAGCTGCAGATATGAAGTTTTCCAAGTGCCCAAGAAAGCCTCTGATAAGTAATGAATCAGAAGGGAAGATGCCTAGCAGAATCAAAGGTGACATGATTTCAAGATGTTCACTTTTCCTACCCATCACGCCCAGACAAACCATCCTTCAAGGACTGTCCTTGTCCATTCCAGCTGGAAAAACAGTAGCATGGTTGTAGCAGTGGCTGTGGAAAGAGCACTGTTATTTCCTCTGGTTAACAGATTTTATGATCCCTCAAGAGTCAGTTTAAATAATCTTCCACTATCTTTTTATTCTAACTATCTCAATAATTTGTTATTTTATTTTCTTAGTCTACGTTTATATAAGGGATAATCTAATATATTGTCATAATTCTGCCACACTCGAGTTGTTGGTTCTCCTCTTTGGTTTTTTCTTGTTACCGTCAAAGGACCCAACACAAATGATGTTTGCAACTGCCACTTTGTGGAAATATTCCAGGGAATAGCTTGTAATCGATGGTCGAATGACGGCTTCTCCCAACGAAAAAGAGGCAAAGAGCACAAATCTGAAGTTCCTTCGTAGAAACATGGGGCCGTTTCCCAAGACCTCACTCTTTCAGGCACCATCGAGGATAATCTGTAAAGGTAAATGGACCAGATGATCAAGAATTCGAAGGCAGCTGTAATGTCAATGCATCATTTATCTCCAGCTGCTAATCATTACCTGACCGAGGTAAGTTATTAATCTATATATATCATTCTTGTAGCTTGATTATCTCTTGTTTGATCTTCCTTTCATTGTATTAATTTACATCATTGCATATATTAAACATATTCTGTCCTTTTTTATTTAACAACGCCATTTACTTGTAATAAGGAAGAAAAGAGGACAATAAGGTAGCAAAAGTTGATTTAGATCGAAATTCCTCCAATTATGGGGCTTGGCAGATTAGACTACATCTTCACTGTCCAAACACAAATCCACCAATCATCCACTTCCAACATATCATTATCAAATAAAAATAAACCAATTTAACTTCAGTTCTTCATAAATAGACTCTTTTAATATTAATTTTACTATCTACAAGCTTCATAAGAGAACGCAATAAACTGAATGATCTTCTAACCTAACCCACCATAAAATAAGTGGCATGGTCTCTCCAAGCCACAAAACAAACGGGAGTCCAATCCAACCTGCCCGGTTTTAAGCTGGCTATGTAGATGGGGATAAGTTGATGCCATCATGATATCTTCTGCATAGTGATGCACAAACGGGAGTCAACCCAACATGTCTTCTGCAACAATATTCTTCCCCTCATAACATTTATGGGCTCATATGTCAGCTGTATGAGTTGCCAGGTTGGAGAAAGGGGCGTTCCATTTATCAGGAGGCCAAAACACGAGAATTGCTCATAGCCGAGCCATTCTTAAACTCCCTATCCTTTTGCTTGATGAAGCCCTAGCGCCCTCGATTCAGAGTCTGAAAAGCTGGTTCAAGAAGCATTGAACAGCTACGCAGGGAAGGACTTGCATCTTGATCGCACACAGGCTCTCAACAGTTGTAAATGCAGATATCATTGTTGTAGTCGAGAATGGACAAGTGCGGAGACGGAACACACCAAAGTTTTGTTAATACAAGCAATTCTATAGTACATATTTAGCATGCAGAACCTTGAACAGTTGCTGAACCCAGGTAATTGACAATATAATGTACATTTTTTACATATACGTGAATCAAAGGTAAGAAAGAAGCACTCTAATGGCCTTTAAATGTAAATGATGAAGCTACGATTTCAAGACTAAAAGTGCCCGCAAGAGATTTTCCACTGAAACTAGACACCAGTAGAAGTGCAGGAGAGGTCCAAAGAATATACCGAGCACTCTGTGCTAAAGGAACACAACAAAGGCACGGCGAAAAAGAAGTACATATTTTCAGATTTTTGGTTTACGTCTTAGAAATAGTGAGCTAGTGAAGGTTTCTATTGGCTCAATTGCAGCAGCTTTCTCTGGTATCTCAAAGCCATTTTTTGGGTTTTTCATCATCACCATAGGAGTAGCATACTTTAAGGAAGATGCAAAAACGAAAGTTGGACTTTATTCAGCCATCTTCACTGCAGTAGGGATGCTTTCATTATTCAGCCACACCGTCCAGCATTACTTCTTTGGAGTGGTTGGAGAAAAGGCCATGGCAAATCTCAGACGTGCTCTGTATTCAGGTATCAGATATCCCCTATTAGAATTTACATAAATGAACCTCATTTCTCTTTCCTGGAAAAAAAAAACTGAGGCAAGGGCTCAAAATCCTACATGATACATCACATGCATAAAATTCCAGAATGATTTGACAAATATCAGTCAATAATTATTATAACTTTTACAGGTCTGCTACGTAATGAAGTAGGTTGGTTTGACAAATCAGAGAATACTGTTGGTTCATTGACTTCACGCGTTATCAGTGACACTGCCATGGTCAAAGTAATCATTGCTGATCGAATGTCTGTAATCCTGCAATGTGTTTCCTCCATACTGATAGCAACAGTTGTCAGCATGGTTGTCAACTGGAGAATGAGTTTGGTAGCTTGGTCTGTGATGCCCTGCCACTTCATAGGTGGTCTTATTCAAGCCAAGTCTGCCAAAGGATTTTCTGGTGACTACTCTGCAGCACATTCTGAGCTTGTTGCTCTTGCATCCGAGTCTACAACCAACATAAGGACTATTGCCTCATTTTGTCATGAAGAACAAGTATTGAGGAAAGCCAAAACATCCCTAGAAATTCCAAAGAAAAAGTATAGGAAAGAAAGTATCAAATATGGGATCATTCAAGGCTTCTCCCTTTGCTTATGGAACATTGCACATGCTGTTGCTCTGTGGTACACAACAATTCTGGTTGACAGACGTCAAGCCAGCTTTGAAAATGGAATAAGGTCATACCAAATTTTTTCTCTCACAGTTCCTTCTATCACAGAATTATACACGCTGATCCCAACTGTCATCTCGGCTATCAATATACTGACCCCAGCATTCAAAACCCTTGATCGTAAAACTGAAATTGAACCAGACACACCAGATGATTCACAACCAGAGAGGATCCAAGGAAATGTAGAATTTGAAAATGTAAAATTTAACTACCCTTCAAGACCCGAAGTCACCGTTCTTGATAATTTCAGTTTACAAATTGAAGCTGGATTGAAGGTGGCTTTTGTAGGACCAAGTGGAGCTGGAAAATCCTCTGTTTTGGCCCTTTTACTACGATTTTATGATCCACAGGGAGGAAAGGTGTTAATTGATGGAAAAGACATAGGGAAATATAATCTAAGATGGTTAAGGACACAAATAGGACTAGTACAACAAGAACCACTGCTTTTTAATTGCTCAATCAGAGACAACATTTGCTATGGCAATAATGGGGCTTCAGAAAGTGAAATAGTGGAGGCTGCTAAAGAAGCAAACATACATGAATTTGTAAGTAATTTACCAAATGGATATAGCACTGTTGTTGGAGAGAAAGGATGCCAGCTTTCCGGAGGTCAAAAGCAAAGAATAGCCATTGCCAGAACAATACTAAAGAAGCCTACAATTTTACTCCTTGACGAAGCAACAAGTGCTCTTGATGCTGAGTCTGAAGGAATTATAGTAAATGCCTTAAACGCAATACATCTGAAGGAAGACCGTGGATTGCGTTCAAGGACCACCCAGATAACAGTAGCTCATAGGCTTTCCACAGTGATAAACTCAGATACTATAATTGTCATGGACAAAGGTAAAGTTGTACAGATGGGTTCCCACTCGACCCTAATAACAGTAGAGTCAGGACTTTATTCAAGGATGTTCAGGTTACAGAGCTTCGAAGAAACTTCGTAGGTTTATACTTGACATTTTTATACAGATCCTTACTCTGTAACTAAGAAAAAAGCCTGTTGTATCAATTCAGAAAACCAAGGTTTTCTTCAATTTCTTCTCCAGTGCAATAAAATTATAGTCAGAATAAGTGCCAAGAAAAATAATCTAATGACCTGAACTGGAAGACACGACCTGGATGTAGAAAGTGCTTTGTCGGCTTGTTTAAAATTCAAGGAAGATGCTATCAATTGTTTTCAGCTTTTCTACCTCCCCCACACTAGCGATTCCAGGGTCAACATAACACAACTGAAATAGAACAAGACCATCAATCCTAATCATGAATTGGTGCAATGCAATTATAATTTGTTGTCAAAATAAGTAAGACCTGGTACTGTGGCTTCTTTAGTGTATGCATTCCCCTTTTTATGAGTTCCTCCCACCCAACTTTCTGCCTGAGGGATCTTTCAAGAGCGGCTGTACTCTATAATGGTAAAATAACAACTTGAACCAGAAATCGAGCATGATCATTAAACAGCATGCATTTTTCAAACATCCATTTTAATGTGTGTGTGCGTGTGTTAATCAGAGAAAAAAACAAAATACTTCCAACTAGTTAAAAAATAAATGACTTGTCTTATACAGCTCATATTGTTCGAGATAATACAACCAGAGAAAGGATAGATACGTGTCAGAATTATCATATGCATGTCCTAAGAATGATGATACACTTTGCTATGTAATTTGGACTTAGTGTCAATAAAAAATGTACTATTTTCTTTCAACAAGTTGGGGAATAGTTGTCAAGGAAACAATACAAAGGGAGGGAAAAATTCTAGGAAAGATTAGTTTTTTTTTTTCTTTTTTTATCTGCAATTTAGTAATAGTAATTATAAACATATTAAGAGAAGAAGCCAATAAAGCAAAGAATGAAGAATCAAGTTCTTCCATTATTTTTCTATTCTAACTGAATTTACATACTATAAGAAAATAAACTGAATTCAAGAAATATATTTGCATTTCACAACTTTCTCTGCCTTGGATTTTCTCTGTTATTCTTGACTTTCTTATCCACTTATTTTCCATGACAAAAAGAATGAAAATAAGAACTCCGGCTTCCTTGTGTATCTAGCATGAATTTTGAATTGTCGGTCAAATTTCATTACATCCTATACTTTTTCCCTTTAATTTCTTCAGAACGATAGAGGCAGAAAGGCATTTATAAGATATGCAAATTAACCCAAAAAATCTATATGCCAATTATGAATAACAAGATATGAAGCTAGCAATGAAAATAAATTACTTGAGCAGGGTCCAAAATTAGGAGATTATATTGCAGATGTCTTTTTTGTTGATGGTTGACTTGAATTCCAACTATTGTTCTTGAGTGACCGTCATGTTGGAAGTATAAAGGCCTATCCAAGAAAGCATTCCAAAATCAAAAACATTTACGAAACAAAATTATTTGTGTGGTTTAAAAATTGTATCTAAAATGCGCCCTCACTCACGTTTTCTCACTGATCACATGTTTTTGGCCAAATTGGATTGAGTTTTCATCCAAAAAGTAATTCCACACAAAATCCATGAGAACTTGATAACCCCTGCCCCCTTTATCTTTCTTTTTTACCAAATGAACACTTGTTTCATTCCTGGCATTGTCAGCGCTAGAACCTGGAATGGATTGGGATTCCTTAGGACCAAAATCCACTACTCTTGCCCTAAGACCAAAGGAACGCAATAGAGCTGCACAATCAGTAGTTCCTATCCATTTTTTAGAACTAAAAATAGCATGATTGAATTGAGCTGATCCAAGCGGATCAAAACCCTTCTCCCAAGCAATCTCGAGCCACCTTTGCAGCGACAAGATATCAGGAACAAATCCCGAACCACCAAACAAAGCTTTCCTTGCTTCAGGTCTTTGCACTAGCAAGTGAGAACTAAGCATTTGAATGTTACGCCACCCACAACCCCATCCGGCATCCTCAGATTCAAGGCACTGGAAATGATCAACATAACCCGACAAAATGCTAATTGAATTTCCAATTTCAGACTCTAAACAATTTTTGAACAATGTCATCAAACCCGCTTCAACTTTGTGAAATTCACACCTTGTCTGAGAAACAATCAAGCAAGAGATTCTGTCATTCACTTTGCACTCCCCGTTCTCGCTACTAGTCTCACCACCACGCGAATACTTTGCTCCAGACAGTGAAACAGTGCTTGCTTGCTCTCTCTGCAAAACATGACATAAGATAATGTACAGAACATATTGAATAGCTTATACATGTCTCTTCGATCTCATTCTACCTCATTTACTCTTATTTGTACCACTTTCTCTGTCTACCTCTTCTTTTTTCTTCTATCTCTATTTTCCTCCCACCAACCCCACATGAACTATTCAGTATACATATAAATGAGTAATTATAATAGAAAAAATATAAATTAACACATGGACTATTCAGTATACATATAAATGGGTAATTATAAAAGAAAAAATATAGATTAAGTTCAAAAATAATAACGTATCTAATAATTTAATATAACCATTGATATTTTCCTCAACGGAGATTGTTGCATAGAAAATAGCTAGTGCTCATATTCAACAAATCAAAATTAAGCCCACCTGAAAAACATTTACATTCAAAATCACTGACAAAGAAAACCTCTTAAAAGCAGCAACAAAGGAGGTGTTACCGGAAGAGATTGAGGGGATGAATCAACATTGGGAGAGCGTTGAATTATTGTGGGCAGGTCAAAATCATGCTGGAGTTCCCAAAAATGAAAATTGACGTGCCTGCTTTTGCAGAATCATATTCAAATGGCGAACAAAAGGAAACGAATGAATGTGAATGTGCATTATACACAGAACAGAGACATACCCAGTGAGTTGAGATAAGGGTAGACATGAATCGCATAAGGGGCAAGTGGTGAATTGATCCGAATCCATGTTCGTTGCCACCACAAAACGGGATGTGACCAAACGTTGACGTTAGATTCAAATGCGCTTCACTTTTTCTTATGCAACAAGTTATGTCAGAATTTGAATAATTTCTCTCCCACAAAATGCAGCATCATTGTTGGAGTATTCAAACAAAAATAAAATAAAGCATGTCGACAAAATCAATTAAAGGAAAATGTTATTTGGACAACGAAATTTTGACACAGATTTAACAACGCCACGTTGTCGCTCTTGATGCCAAATAATTGAAAATCAACAGAGAAAGGGTGAACGGGGCGAGGGTATTTTTGGGATTTCAGGTTAAATTTGAAGAATTGGGTTTCGCGGTTTAGGGTGGGACGACTTTCGTTCACCCCTTGTCGCTCTCTCGCTCTCCTCGCTCTCTCTCTGCTCTCTCGTTAAAATTTAAAGATTGGGTTTGGGCGGTTTCGGGGGGAAGAAGTTTGTTTCACCCCTTCCATATTGGTGTCTCGCTCTCTCGCTCTGTCGTTCGCTTCGAAGCTTCCATCTTCGCTGTCGTTTTTCTCGCTCTCTCTCTCTAACTCATTTTTACTTTGTGTTAAGCTCACTTCTAATGACAAAAGTAGTGAGTGAAAAATGAACGCAACATTTAGAATAATAAAGATTTGAAAAGTACTGACCATTTTCACGTAAAATTAATGGTAATTAATGGGAAGAGTTGATCAAATTCTGAGTGGGGAAGATGGGTGGTTGGGGGTCATTTATGACGCGAAGAAGTGTGGAGGTGACCTCGTGATGAGTAGGGTGACTAAGTAGTGCAAGGGAATGATCATAGTGTTGAAATTGTCCCTGTTAATCGTTTACAGAATCTGGTAAACATTACCGAGAGAAATGGATTTTTGTACATAAGTCCAACACCAAGGTAGTTCATAGGTGAACAGGGGTCACCATTGGAAAAAAAGCTCCAGTTTTAGGCAGTTCTGCAACCTTCCTAGGTGCTGGTCCACCGGTGTTTCATGGTGGGAGAGGGTGGTTGGTGGATGTGATGTGTGTCCCAGGAATGTGGGGTGAGACCCCTCATCGTTGGAGGAGCACAACCTCTGCAAGGATGAGTGAGGGGTTGTTGAAAAAAGGGTCTGGTAATCTTTACAAGCTCCCTGTACACGATTACCCGAGACAAAACTGGATTTTTACAGAAAGGTCCAACACATGTACTCAGTT